CGTATCAATCGTGGACAAGTAGAACAGGTTATATTGAATAACATCCTGTACTATTTTTGCAACTTTTCACAATTAATTAAAGGCTTATTAATTTACAGATCCGTGAATGAGAGAGCTTTTTGCGCAAAAGGCATTGCAAATATTTACGATTGCTAAAACGCGCAAGATATTTGATATCTGAAATCAAATTTTACATATAATCTATGAATAATGGAGCATCTTTTTAAGTGCACATCTCTAAATATCTTGCTGCACATTTAGCATCATGATACACACACACACACGCGCGCGCGCGCGCGCGCATACACACACACACACACACATACACACACCACATGCACGCGCGCGCGCGCGTGCGTGTGTAATATATTTATATATAAATATAAATAATATATATATATATATATATATAATATATATATATATATAGAGACACATATATATCCAAAGTGTTATTTTTAAAATGAAATAATTGCATATATTATTAAATATTTGTTAAAATATAATGTATTCAAGAAGTAAATGTTAACTTTTAATAATCAAAATAAGGAACAATGAAATCACATTTTGGATAGAATCGTTTTTATTTATACATTGATCATATCTGAGATAATTATAATTCATTTTTTCATCTCAGAGGTCTTTCTTTCGAATCATACATATTTTATCATAGACTTACATTATGAGCACAATCCTAAAAATAATCATAATTATATACAAATCATTTTATTTCGAGCATTGACTAATAATGTAATATGTGACGAATTATATATGTTATTGTTACATATGTACAATATGAAGGTGCATTCTAGAAAAAGAAGTTTTATTTTTAAAAACGCCAAAATATAAAAAAATTTGTAGCTATAAAGTCTAGATACATATATATATATACAGAATGGGCGACTATTTTAGCAATTTCAAAGGCAATTTTTCAGCAAATTTCTGTTTTTTTTATATATTTTTATGTCAAAATTAAATTTATAAATTTAAAAATTAATTTTTTAAAATTAATTTATTAAGATTCTATGAAAATAAATCATATTTTTTATTTAGCAAAGAAACCAAGTAAAATTAATTTCATTTCTAACCTGAAAATTTATTTATCTATTTATTTAAATATTTGATATAAACACCATTTTTGATAAAAATTTATTCTAAATTCATCGTTCTATCGTTAAAATAAAGATGCAATATGTGTGGAATACTGTATATATACTATTATTGTTTTTCGAAAATATCCGATATACAAATAGCTCCTTCGCAAATGATAATAAGCAACATGCTATAAATCAATATGTCACGCTCAATATACGTGCAATGTGTGCACTAATTAATAAAACAAGAGATTGTTATCCATAGATGACACAAATATCTTAATTGAAAATCAATATACATATGTATATATATGTATATATGTATATACGATGATTTCCGATGCTATAGATTATAAATCATATAAGCAAGTTTACACTTATATATAATTTAATCGTAATAAATTTATATTTTATATTTCCAGTAATTTATAATATTAAAAGATTTTTTTTATATAATAATTAATTTCATTAAAACAAACTAAAATTTAGGCAGGGCTTAATGTTTCTAGCTAGAAATAAAAAATTATATAATACATAATTATGCGATTTATAATTGCTTAATTTAATATAATTTTTCGAGATGTGTATATAGTATGACTCGCTCATAAATGGTTATATCTCTCTTTTTATTTTACGAACTAAAAAAGATAGACCTTAATAAATATACATTAAATTAAATAGTTTAAATTAAACTTTAGTGTGAGCATAACAATTGCATATAAGAGTTATCTGAATTACAAAAAAAAAGATACATAAAGATATATGAGATACATAAACTTTATACTATTTTTTTAGAATAATATGAATATTTTGATAAAATAAAAGCTATGATATCATTTAAGAAGAATACAACGGTATTATTTGACAAAATTATTTTATAAATTATAGAAGTTTATGTTTGTATTTAATACATTTTTATTTTTGGTTTGGCGGTATAACTTATTTTCAATTTCAATTTTCATTTTCAAATATTGTAATTAAATGGCATCTTGTTACATGACTATTACTGTAAAAAAAATTTATACATATCTTCTTGTTCTCTAATTCAAATCAATTTTATAGACAATTATTATGCTCATAGTAGAGTTTAGTTATTTTATTTAAGGCTCTCTCACTGCAGCCATATTGAATTATGACGTCGAAGCGAGAAATGATATGACAAAAATTTCTTGCGTCGTATAACTTTATTTTGTACTTTTCCCTTAAAAAGATATTTTCATATTTTTAAAATTTGTATAAAATATTAGAAAGTAAGATATCTATCCGATAGATCACGTAAAAGCGTAAAATAATTCTTGAAATAATGATCACTGTTCAGCTATCAAAAACAACTAGATCTAATGATCTGGTGATTTCTTCAAAAATTTTAGAGTAATAAATTTTAGAAAATATGTTTTGAAGGGAAAAGTATAAAATAAAGCTACACGATGCAAGAAATTTTTTACATGTCATTTCTCGCTTCCGACATCACACATCCATGTCGCGCTGCTTTAATGAATCATTATTATGATCTATCTCTTTTAGTTTAGGAAATAAAAGGAGAGAAAAGTATTTATGATAGGATACATTAGTAACATAGATTATATATAGATTATATATTTTACACGTCTATGGCATCGGATAATCCAAACTCGTAAAACTGTGTAATTTAGTAATTTAAGAATAATTTTTTTCATGTTTTTTTATCGTGAATATCGGATACAATGATTAATTTTGCGTTATATTCTGAAACAAGAAATTATTAATTTCTAATCTATCGTGCCATGTCACATTCTATCAATCGACATTCAATACATCCTTTGTTTTTATTTTGTACAGCTTTCCTGCCTATATGCAAAGAATGAATTAATACATCAGTTGTAAATAATAAAAATAGTTTCTGATATATAAACTCTAGACATTTTTTTCACATTATGCCTAGTTTCTACAAGAAGCATTTCTATAGAGAATTTCTATAGAAAGCATTTAAAGACATCAGTCTTCAACATTTCATTCTTTTCTTCTTTTTTTCCATTATTATCCTTACATTTCTAATTATATATATATATATATATATATATATATATATATATATTATATATATAGT